TATAAATAAAGGTACGGTGTGATCATCGTGGGAAACCCCAAGGCCCTCTCCAAGCAGCCGCTGTGGAACAACCTGCTGAACAACTACAAAGAGCAGAAAGTCCTGGTGGAGGGACCCCTCAACAACCTGAGGGAGAGCCTCATGCAGTTCAGCAAGCCCCGCAAACTGGTCAACACAATCAACCCTGTGAGTAGAACAGAGTAATGCTTGTGCACCCATGCTGTTTTGGAGGCAAACAATGTCACAAGACAAAACAAGCCAATTGAAGACATGTATTTGGACTCTTATTAAAAATCAATGTTATTTGAAGCACTGCATCTGAGTATTATGCAACTGTATAAAATTGACATTGTCTGGTTATCTCCAGGGCGGACGTTTTATGAGCACTGCAATGTACGACGCCCGCGAGGCCCTCATCCCTGGCTCCGCCTACGACCGCAGCAATGCCGGTATTTATTTACTACAGGATTATTAAATTGTGGGTTTTTTTTTTATCAACAGGCTGCATAACAGTCCAGAAAAAGAATACTGGACTAGCCTGGTTAACTTTGTAAAAAAAGCTGACATGAGTCTTGTCCTGTATGCTTTCTTTCAGGCGGACGTCCGTCCAACATGTACTTTCAAACTCACGACCAGATTGGGATGATTGGGGCAGGACCCGGTCACATGGCTATGAATATCCCCATTCCCTTCAACCTGGTGATGCCCCCAATGCCTCCGCCCAGTTACCTAGGGCAGACCAACGGCCCTGCTGCAGGTACAGTACAGCACTGAGATGGCCCTCTTTGCTATGAAAGGGGTTAGTCGTAAGGTACAGTACCTGTTTCGACACCTGTCTTATTTTCTTTCTTTTTTCCCCCAGGTCGTGGAGCGATGAAGGGTAAGCCTGGGCGTGGCGGGCGGCAGAGGGTCCGCGGGGCGGCCCACCAGGGGGCCAGTCAGGGTAACGGACCAAACAGCCAGGCCAGCCAGGACGGGGCCTCCCAGCCCTTCTCCCAGGGGCCGCTGACTCAGGGCTACATCAACATGAGCCAGCCCTCTCAGATGAGCCAGCCTGGCCTCTCCCAGCCGGAGCTCTCCCAGGTAACACCTCACTTCCACGTTTATGACATGCTCAGGATGAGTTATGTCAATCTTTTCTTTTATTGATTTCACATGTCAGACATGTTTTAGTTTATTTTGTTTAGGAAAATGCAGATCGTTTTCACTTAGTGAATTATCACTTTCTTATTATAAACTTTATTTTGAAAGAACATACTGTACCTATACAGGAATATATGACAGTTATTTTCCAGCCTCTTGGAGACTTTTGATGTATTGAATTTGATTTAAAGGTGGGGTAGGTAATTCACTTCAGAAACACTTTTTGTTATATTCCATGGAATGCTCTTAACATCCCGATAGCAATGATTAAATTAAATGCTTTGACAATAAATATATACAAATATTTCATCTGTGGAAGCCGTAGCGCTGTAAAAAGCACGACCAATTATCTGAGCCGGCCCGGGTCAGATAACTGGATGGCCTACCTGCCTGTCAGCCTTCCATCTCGTGCACAAACTTATCTCGTGCCCTCATTGGTCATGTGCGCGTTCGTGTGTGTTGGAGGAGGGGCTCTATAAGGAAGTCTGAAGGAAGGGGAAGATTTTTTTCGGTTGTGTACTTTCAAATTCTAGCGTACTCGAGCTGGTTTCTCCATTGTTACCTACCCTACCTTTTAATATTGAGTGTTATTATAGTTTCGTAGCACTGGTCATATTGGTCCTTATTTAAATTGATCTAGAAATAATATAAATCTATTAAATGATATTAAATCATATATATTGTTTTGCATTACAAGAAATGAATGGTTAGTGCCATAGATCTCACTGATGAAGGTAATTCTGTCTGCAATGATGCTTTTGTCCTCCCGTTTCCAGGACAGCTACCTAGGCGATGAGTTCAAGTCCCAGATCGACGTGGCTTTGTCCCAGGACTCTACTTACCAGGGTGAACGTGCATACCAACATGGTGGGGTGACTGGACTGTCACAGTACTAGAGTGTAAGTACATGAGATATAGTCTTTGTAGTCACAATAAGGCACATTTACACATACATTATTTGAGTTTCCCGGCCTTCAGCTCTTGTGTTAAATATAAAGTTATTTTCAAAATCACCTTTTGTGGTGTGGACAAAAGATTATAAGCCCGTTTTGTGTCTTGCAGGTATCTTTAAAGAAGGGAGCTAGGCTTGAGCTGAGCTTAGTTCATCAGCTTTTTAATCTGGGAAATAATAAAACATAAAATGGATACCTGTTTTCCTCTGCTACAACCGAAGCACCACCGAGTGAAAGCGACGGGATAGCGAAACCAAACCAATGACCAGCGAGAGAGATAAGAGGGTGGAAGACGTAGAGAGCACGAACAGACGGGCATGGAGACGGCGAGAGAGGCCGAGTGAACAAGCGAGAGGCAGGGGCCGATGCCCGTGCAGTGTGAAGGAGGGGAGTCGAGAAGATGGCGGCATGTGGTCGGGCTGCTGAGGGAAACGGAGGGGAGATCTCAGCGGTCTCTCGTGGGAATCCAAATGAGGTTCAACTCCCAATAAAATAATCCAGCCTACCCCTTCAACCCACAGCCTCCAGGAAGTGTAGGAAAGCCATCTGATCTCCAGGTGGGGATCGACGCTTTCTAGCCGAATTTGAAGAACTTGTTCTCCAAACTTTGCAGGGGGCTTGAAAACAGAAAGCCATCGAACAGGAAACACAAAATCCCAGTGCTAAAAGTCAGTTGGTTTATCCACCTGAATCTCTGAAATGTGGTTTACCATGGGAGGAGAGGGGCACCAACACTCTTCCAGTGGGCCCTAAAGCCTCAGCCGCCTCAGAAGGAAGCAGCAGTCGACACCCTCTCGGAGAGGAAATATAAACACGGTTTCTGTGCTTGAGTCTGAGATTAAAGAGCCTTGAATTGAAATACCTTTCACTTGCCTTGAGAACCACTGGCTCATTCACAAGGTCTTTGACGGCTGGTTTGTGACCACACGTCAGTGGTGCAGTGGCACGGGGATTTCAGACTGTTTTTTCAAGGCATGACAAGCGAATCCCACCGGTATCGCGATCATCATGGGACAGTTTTTTCTTCTCTGAAGTACCTTTCCTATCACAGAGCACAAAATTGCAAAAAAGTCATCGAAACTATCAAACATGACCAGCATTGAATATTCAACTCAATGTCATTTGATGTTTCAGCAAAAGGCTTTTCCTTATTTGAATCTTTTGAAAGCAGGGGTTGTTGATGTCCTGCTGTGCTTCATGACCAGATGTCTTTTTGAAAACACTCTGTGTACGCTTAGATTGGCAAATGCTTGAAAGCTTTGCATTGATAGATTCCTCAGGGGGTTGTGGGCTGTCCACACTCATCAGAAATATCCCTGCTTGAGGTGAAAGAAACCAAACGAGGGGGGGAGAGAGGGATGATGGTAGTTGATGCTTACAGGCAGCCGTGGCAATCAATCAATCCACCACAGGTAGGGAGTAGAAAAGGAAGGTGGCTGAGGGGAAAGGAAATGTGAGTTTCCACATCTGGAAGACTAGCTGAGGTTATTTTCAGGGGTTGAGAATGCTGATTGAAACATTACTTTAGGACTGTTCTGTCCATATAGATTAGGTAACTTGTAAACCCATTGTTATAAATACAAATAAATCACAGCATTTTGATTTTTGTGAATATTGTTCACATAACCAGCAATATAGTCAGGCTGATGGCCATATTGGTAAGCCACACACATGTAAAGAGTGAATTATCATAGGAAATTGGTAATTGTATAATGCATAATTTAAATATTAATGTAATCTGAAAGATCTTTAGTTACTGTGTGAAATAAAAACATGACTAGACCCTAGTTACAGTGTACATGCCATCCGTACTGATAAGATGGTGAGAACAAACATGAAAGTGAGTGAGAACCTGAATCAGTGCCTATAATAAATCACCTTCATATAAACAGCTGCAGCACAAGCATGAATGTAGTTAAAATCAAACTACCAGCATACAAACCTTCCAGGCATCAGAGGGCTGAAGAAACCCTCAGGAAAGGACTTGTTGTATTTTTATTTTTTTAATAAAATCAGGCCAGGTAAAGAGGTCAGTTGTTTTAGCAGCCAGGTAAATTCTCAAAGGATGGGCATATTAAAAAAAGCCACCTTCCTTCTCTTGTAAAAAACGAAAGCTGGTAGAATTTACTTTTCTTTCTGTGGACTTGTGATTTGTGCGAAGCTGTATCGCCTGCTTTATGTATTCCTTGTAGAGTTTCTCTCCAGATTTATGTTGATCCTAACCCTCTTCCTGAAAAACTGAACCTGATCCAAACGTTTCTTTAGTCAGAGGAGTCTGTGTGTCATGTTTTGTTCAGTTGGATATTTAGCCGTTTTGTGCAGTTTTACTAAGATCTGTTTGCTGACAAAAGGAATGAGGCGAACTCTGATTCCTTTTCATGAGTTTTGTATCTTCTCCTCAATGTCTGAGAAATTGTAGTTTTGTAACTCTTCCAGGAAAGATGTATTTTATTTGTTGTTAAACACAGTAAGAATGTACTCCAGTGTTTCTCACCTGCTTCTTATTTCAGCAGACAATCATGTCGCTAGTAGATGTGGCCATGTTTAATTGACTTAGAAATTGTTTTGTTGACATTGTGTTTGAATCTCTTTAGTGCAATGATTTAATGTCACAGATCGACCCGTTCCTCTGAATCCTAACATGTAATAGCTTTAAGAACCTGCTGCCGTAATATTATTGCTTTGGTGTTTCCTTATCTTCTGAGCCACGATGAATTTCAACATGTGGAGTGATCATTGAAGTAATTCAGTTGTAAGTTAGTTGTTAAACATTTGCATCCAATCCCTTGATTCTGTCATCAGGCAATGTGATGTTGATATCTATTTTAAATGTCTTGCAGTGAAGTTTCATCACATGGTGGTTCCTTGTTTACCTGAATCAATAAAGGCTGTCAACTTGAGGAATTCTTTGATGGTATGAAACTGGGTTCAGATTTATTTGCAGATTCATTTGAACATTTTACAGGTATTGTACAGTAATAACACAAAGTATATACATGGGACACGACCAGTTTTTACGCTGATGTCTGCCCTGCCTTTTTCATTTGTTTCCGTTTCATAATTTTCTTTTTCAGCTGTCCACGTTTCTGTTTCTCAATGGTCTCGTGGATATTCAGTTTGAACTTCTTTTTCTGGCTCCGGATCTTCTCCAGCTCAGCTTTCCTCTTAGCCTCCAGGTCTGGATCCTGAAATGGCAGATTGATCAAAAACTGACAATATGACCCATTTGCTGATTGCAAATCAAAAGCCCTAAACTATATTATTTGTAATGTTTCGCTACATTGGACACCTGAGGAACAATGTTGGCCTGCGTTACAGAAACTTAGCATGATAATCAGACTGAATGACTTATTTAAACATATTAGATTTATATTGCTAAACTATATTCATAGGTCTGGTAGCAACAGAAACGGCTCACATGGGAACCGAGCTAACATAAAGAGGGAGGCATTAATAACTTAGTGGAAAATAGAAAAAGCCCTCAAATAGTTATTTGGCAGAGAAATGTCCTTGAAAAAACTGCTCTAGTAAATAATGTATAAATCAGTATTACAAACTTAATGTACCAAATGTTTAGAATTGTTTTCTATAAACAAAAGTCAAATGTTTGCAAGTTCAGCTGAAGAAAAGTAAATTATCCTTCAATTATATCTAATAAGTGCCACATAAAAACATACATTTACAATGAGTTAATTGTTTTTGCACCTGACATTTTGTTGCTTAGTCTTGATATAATTGACATTCTAAACTTGAATTAACAGTGTCAAAAAGAAAGGTTTATTAAAGTTGGGCTGTTATAAGAAGTAAACTTACCTTTCCCTCCAAGATCAGCTGTTTCCTCTTGTTGGTCTCTTTTTTCTCATCAAAATCTGTTGACTCAAGTTTCTACAATACAGAAAAGAGTTTACCATCAAAACAAATCTTTTGTGAGAAAATACAAACTGTCCAGTACAAAAACATGCCAGAAGACCTATATACTGCTTGTATGTACAGTTACTGAAAAACCCAACAAGAAAATATTCCTGAATTTAGCACAAACTCAGCTGACAGAATATATTTTTTTAAAAGAGGTGTCCGTACTATTTCACACTGCCTTCTGGTCACGTTGACCTGGGTGAGGATCTTCAGGACATCTTTCTCCACCACCGGATATTCCTTCAGCTTTGTCTCTATAGCAACAGAGCAGTTAGCGTTAGGTGCATCACAATATTACACACACTGGCGTCTGGTGTTTCCAGCTCCTTTCGGGACCTGGTGGGTAATCTGGTTCAGGATCAACAAGTTAATACAAGCTTACTATAGTATTTAACATTTACATGAAGAGGCTACCAGCCACATCAAGGCTTTGGATTTGAATACGTTACCATTGTAGCTTGTAATCAAAAAGAGAGTCAAGATTTACAGATTTATATCTGTATAAAGTCATCAGAAGGAGATTACTGTTGATATTTCACTGATTATGAATACCATAAACGTTACTACATTCACTCTATGTATGGCTGCAACAATTTCAATTTTGTATCAGTGCCAAAGCAGGAAATATCAATATTTGAAGCTGCATTTTCTGCCATTTTTGCATCAAAAATTGAACTAAGGATTAATCGATAATCTAAATAGTCGTTGCAGCTCTAAACCTTGTGTGACTGACAACTGGATATGATTTATTTCAAGTAGAACAGATGTTCACACTGCAGCCACAGGTACAGACGAGCCTGCAGGTCAGACTAGTGTTTAGTTAAGCTCCAAAACACACAAAAGGTAAAACCTACTATTCTCTGCTTCGATGGACTGGACCAGGTGGATGTCGTACTGCGTCACCAGAGTTATGGAGACCCCATTCCTCCCTGCAGAGGAAAATAACCACGTCATGTTTGAGCTGCATTTATTTCAGACATGTTATCAAGAATAAGTCACACATGCGTGATGTTTGTGATCTTATCGTTACAAATTAAACGTGTGAAAGGCTACCTGCTCTTGCTGTCCGTCCCACTCTGTGGATGTAGATCTTTGGGAGGCCGGGGGTGTTGTGGTTAATGACGACCTGGACAGTTGGAATATCCAGACCCCTGTGAGTCAGAGAGAACAGGAAGGGTGTCAAAACAAAGTGATTTCTGTCTACAAATCTGGAACTGTGTGACAATTTGTGGGAGGATCGACAGCCATCATCCCTGAGACAGCAAAGCTTCTTACCTGGAAGCCACGTCCGTCGCAATCAGCAGTTTGAAGACGCTGGCCTTGAACATGGCGAGGTTTGCAAATCGTTGTTTCTGGAGAAGACGAAGAGCAGACGTTCATTGCGAGTGCCCCTTTCACCTGCTATAATCTGCTATAATCCCTCACAGACAGTTTCTACACTATCACAATGGCTTTGTGCTCGCTCTACGTTTCAGTCTTTGTCTCTTTAATGAGAGGAATATGATTTTCCACATCCAACACGAGCTAGCCCAGCAGCTCTGAGTACCGGTGATAAGCGACACGCCATGTTGGAGGAAATCTCTGCCCTCACCTTTCTCTAACACAAAGCAGTCAGAGAAATCTTTGTAAGTGCAATTAATTAACTGGTCAAATTTTTATATATGGTCGCTCATCGACCTTGAAACGTCATTCAGCACGACTCAGTCACTAAAACGAAATGATTGCTTTTACTTAGTGATGGAACTACAAAATAAAAGTTTGTTAATTGCACTTTCCTTACCTGTTTCATCATGGAGTGTAGGGAGATGGTTGGGAAGTTAAATTCCCTCATCATCATGGTGAGGATTTGGCAGTCCCTTATGGAAAGAAACACATGTTCTATTGTAATACTTTTTTTTTGTTTTTATATGAACCACACCAAATCAACAAATAAATGAACAAGCAGAGGCCTCTTACTAGTTATCACACCAAGGTTCAAAGAGAAAAAGGTATTGCCAACTTTGTAATTAGCAGTGGCGAGCCATGACTTTTATACCTAGGCCCTATGACCCCCCCCCCTTCCCTCGAAATAAGAGTTATTACATCACAGCGTATACTTCAGCGGAATATCAAAACAAATGTTGGAAATGTTATTTTAAATACAATTAAAGGTGGGGTAGGTCATTTTGGAGAAACCAGCTCGAGTGCGCTAGAATTTGAAAATACACAGCCGGGAAAAATCTGCCACTTCCTTACAGAGCCCCTCCTCCAACACACACGAACGCGCACATGACCAATGAGGGCACGAGATAAGTTTGTGCACAGATGGAAGGCTGACAGGCAGGTAGGCCATCCAGTTATTTTAGCCGGGCCGGCTAAAATGATTGGTCGTGCTTTTTACAGTACTACGGCTTCCACAGATGACATTTTTGTATGGATTTTTTGTCAAAGCACTTAAGATATTCATTGCTATCGGGATGTTAAGAGCATTCCATGGAATATAACAAAAAGTGTATCTCGAGCCGGTTTCTCAAACTTACCTACCCCACCTTTAAATCAAGTTATTTTGGTCAAACTAGAGAGGCCCTGAAGGCCCGCCACTGGTAATTAGATGTTCTGTTTAACAACAGAAGTTTATGCTACAAATCACAACCTTAACTGGCACCATTACACGTTTCATAACATATACAAGGTTTCCTTTAGATGCATTACATTATGGTTACTACTAGGGATGCCAGCGATTATTCGATTATTCGTTACAGTCTCCTTAAAATTCGATTTTATTTATATATTTTTTTATTAATATTTATGTTTTTCTTTTTTTTTCTTTTGGTTTGGTTTCAACCAAAATATAGACTAATGCTAATAATAGTAATAGTATTAATAATTGTAAATGACCATTGATCACATTAGTCGAATAATCGATTAATATTCGCCAGGGCTGTCGGATTTTCGATTTTGATCATGGTCAGTTTCTGGCATCCCTAGTTACTACAGGGCTTAGTATTGTACGAGCATGCACAACTTTAGGCATTTTCACTACTTCCAGTCCACTTACTTGCACGTGTTGACGAAGACGATGATGGACCAGTCGTCATGCTCGTCGGTAAACTTCTGAATCAGGTGGACCAGGTAGGCGTCCTTCACCTTCTCAGGAGTGAGGATGTACCTCTGGTCCAGCTCCTCTACGGTTCGTGTACTGTTAACAACAATAAAAGGGATATTTGACCTTTCTATCAAGGTCTATAGGTAGATGCCAGAGAGATCCTAGTACAGGAACTCTGGAGCAGGTATGCATTTATGGCAAGAAGGATTTGAAAGAGACTTTAATAAGTGATATGATCCAATCAGAAGGCCTTCATATTCCCTTACAGGAAACATCTTAATGGCAGCTCAGCAAAGTGTGTGCTGCAGGCAGGTCAGCCAGATGAACAGTTTCTGCTTCACAGTGAATACACCAGCTTGAGTTTGTAGCTGCTTTCTGCACACATCTGAATATTGCCAGTATCTGAGCTGTACTAAGCGACCATACATAACTCACATTATTTGCATGACTCTGCATAACATCCAAAAGCATTTGTGTGAGAGACACGCTTCAGTGATTAGCTGCACTTCAGATCAGATGCAAGAAAACTGATCTTCCAGGCTGTTGCTCCTGCTTTGTAAATAACACGCAACATTTCTCACAAAGAATGCAGCTGAAATGAGGAACCAAAGCGTAGTCACTTAGATTTTTTTTTTGTGAAAGGCCACTAAATAAGTACTTTAGATACCTATACATTTAAAGCCTTCTGCAAACAAAGTTAAAAACAGCTCAAATAACACCTGTAATGTGAATTTGAGAAATATTCCTTTAAAAAGTAGTTTAATGGCAGCAGGTTACTCACTCCGATTTGCTCTCCCAGAAGAAAGGTCTGTTCATGGCGATGGACTTCAGGTCGTGCAGGGTGTCTGTGAGCGTGGCGCTGAACAGAAGCGTCTGCCGTTTAGCCGGTAAAATCGCCAGGATCGTCTCCAGGTCTTTGGTGAAGTCAGTACAGCCCTGCTCCAACAGCCGGTCCGCCTCGTCCATAATCTGACAAACACACAGAGACGATGTCACAAACTGTACGAAAAACAGTAGATCAAGAAGTAGCGTGACTGCGTATACAGATTTAAAAAGATCCAAGCATTTGGGATCATAGGAACTACAGCACGAGATCTGAGAACATATCTTTAGTTCATTAGAGCGATTAGAGACCTTGTCCTAGTATAAGTTTGTGTTCCTCCCTAAACTCACCAGAAACTGGATCCTGCTCATGCTGAAGGTGTTGGAGCTGCGGATGTGATCTGCTAACCGTCCGGGCGTAGCTACGACCACATGTGGTTGTTTGGAGAGCTCCAGAGCCTGGCTCACCATGTCTGTCAGAAACACAGCAGAGACAACGTCAGCACAGAGAAGATGCTCAGATAGAGTTTAAAGTAACTGGCTGCAATGATTTATTCAACTTTAAGCAGCAGCAAAGTAACAGCAGAGCTTTAAAATTGTTTACCCATTCCACCGACGACGATGCAGTCTTTTAGACCCAGCGGCTTCCCAAAGACTCTAAACTGCTCTGCGATCTGATAGGCCAACTCCCTGTAGGACATCACAGACACAACATCAGCGAGAGTCAGTAACATAGTTTCCATTCATCTTAGCTCAAGTATCAATAACAAATGCCTCATATGTTTGATGGGGACAGATCCATTTGAAAAATAGTTTGTGTTCAGTTGTTGTGAGCTAACATATAAAGACAGTCTGTGTTGAGTTCTGTATTTTAAATAAATACAAAAAACCTCATCTTTATATCTCAGATTGAGACATTATTTAGGATCTGAAGCTTGTGTTTCTTTGACATATTGTGACTTGAATATTAAGACTGCTCGGTTCAAATACATTGGTCGTTTAATTTGGCAAAGTGTCAGAGAACCATGCTGTGAAACACTAAATGTCTTAATGTGGATTTTTCCCCATACGTGTAGCGGGGTCTCCCAGCTTGCTCTCTGACGCTGCACAGCACTGACCTGGTAGGAGTGAGCACCAAGCAGAAGATGCCATATGGATCCTCGGACAGTTTCTGCACAACTGGAAGCACAAAAGCTGCTGTCTTCCCACTTCCAGTCTTAGCACAGCCCATACAGTCCCGACCTGCGAGGAGAAATAGACATCACATTCATTCATCTGCTCTGATTTCTGGTTAACCAACTAACAAGGTAACTTCAGAGGATTCTACAGTAATTAGTTATAATACCTTTATCATAATGGTGACAATCTCATACTCCATGAGAAAAAAAGTATTTGTTGTCTTTGCTTATCATGACTCGTGATTTTTCTGGAAAATGTGGAAGCAGTCACATGGGGTAATCATTTACATGTTATTGTTTACTAATGTATTATGAGGGAAAGAGCCGTATCAAAACAAAAGCCTTATTCCTGACCTCTTAATCATACCTCCAATCAATAAAAAGTTATACTTTAACTGCAACTAAGAGCAGTTTGGCTCATTTATAGTACAAGCAGAACCCACAAGTGTCTCATGATTTGGAAAATGTACCATTATTTTAAATACATTTTAACTTACCTGACCATTAAAATGATAACATGTGTTTGAGTAGAGTTTAATTACTAATCGACACTGCTGATTTGGAAGTCCACGGTAGTGAAGAAGATATTTACATCACAGGTTGATGGGCTGGGGATATAGATGTTTACTGTGGACATTTAACAGAAACTTACCTTCCAGTATCGGCGGCATACAGTGTTCCTGTACCGGAGTGGGTTTGTTGATGCCCAGCTGTTTACACTGTTTCACCAGCCAGTCTGCCAGGCCCAGCGAAGAGAATTCACACATTTCTCTCGATTTACCGGGCTAGATTATTACTTCTGTGAACTTTATTTTACACAATAATCACGGAAATACTCGCGTTAAACGTAGAGTTAAACATCCTCGTGTGTTTCATCAATGGTCGCTGCGTGATTACGTATTTACGTAACAGTACAACGTGTTTTTCTTCTTCTGCAAGTTACGGACGAGTGGAGACGGTGCTGCCCTCTGTTGGTTAAATATTGTGTGTTTTTAACTCCACTATATATTTATCTGACAATAAATCTGGCTTTTCAGATTTTATTTTCTTATTCTTCGGGTCTAGACAAAAGCATTGTCAAAGTAGGTCATTTTAAATTATAGTGTAAAACTAAAGGGTACATTTTCATGCATACGTCGAAAATAGTATTGTTCTTCATTAGGTAAATAAACAATTACAAAATAAATGTTCTGAATCGGTTGCAAAGTGCATCATTAAAAAGGTAAAAAATAGGTTGAGCTCATGAAAATGGACTTGGTTCTTACGAGAGAGTGATGCTACAAACATACGGTGCTCCTATGTAAAAATGTATTGATTGATTTTTGACATAATATATATATCAGTTGTTGCAGCTGTAAATATGTTTTTGAGGGGAGCTTGTATTTCACTTAGGGATGTGGAAAGACTTTGTTATTTCTGTTTATTCTAATAATTATACTCTGACCCATGTGGTAGAGAGCTGTTTGGTCAAGCTTTCTTTCTTTAATTAACAATCGAATGACCTCTACGTCAATTGATAGATATTGCTGTCCTAAGGTTTTACCATTCCGGCTGGATGATGAAGTTAGACAGAATTTCAGATCAATACAAAAACATGTACTTAAATGTCAGGTTGTTTATTTTCCCACATGATGAAGCACCACTGATACACAGACAATCTATAACAGATATAAAAGTCACATTTATTTCTTAGCTAACATAACTTCATCCACAGATCTGGAATCATTTTAACCTTGAATTTTTGCAATCAGTCTTAACTTGTCTTCTGTGCTTATAATAACACTAACTTGTCCCTCTGACTGACCCTGCCTAATGTACCTTATTATTTTAATGGCAGATTATATTTGCATCTGGGTGACTAGTGCACAATGCTATTTGCACCCCGATGAGTACAGTGAACAATGCTATTTGAACCAGGGTGACAATAGTTAATAATACTATTTGCACCGGGGTGACTATAGTCAACAATACTATTTGCACCGGGGTGACTATAGTCAACAATACTATTTGCACCGGGGTGACTATAGTCAACAATACTATTTGCACCGGGGTGACTATAGTCAACAATACTATTTGCACCGGGGTGACTATAGTCAACAATACTATTTGCATCCGGGTAACTATAGTCAACAATACTATTTGCACCGGGGTGACTATAGTCAACAATACTATTTGCATCCGGGTGACTATAGTCAACAATACTATTTGCATCCGGGTGACTATAGTCAACAATACTATTTGCATCCGGGTGACTATAGTCAACAATGCTTTTTGCACCCCAATGAGTATAGTGATCAATGCTATTTGAACCAGAGTGACTATAGCAAACAATGCTATTTGCACCCGGGAGCGAACAATTATATTTGCACCCCGATGAGTAGGCCTACAGTGAACAATGATATTTGCACCCGGGTGTATATAGTGAACAATCCTACCTTTTACATTTGTATCCTTCATACCAAAGATGCACTTTCTCTGAAAAGACGTCTTCAACTGCAGTTTGGACATTACTTTTGGAGCATGCTTTGGTGCTTAGTGTAGCCTGATCCAAACTTTATGGCATTATGTGACAAAGGAAAGGGGAAAAAGGGGTTTCTCTATTTTCACCGGGGTGCAAATAGACACTCCGTAACTTTATCAAGTATGCTTTGGTCTGACATTTGAGAATTTAGATGATTGCACGAGTTCTTTTTTAATCAACAATTTTAGATTTGATTCTGTCTGGACTTTAATTTCCAGTGCAAATAATGCCTTGATTGCCAGATCCTGTAGATTTGTGTCTGTCTGTCTCATCTGCCACAGTGAGTGTGAAGAAGACTGTGAGTTTGATTAACACGCTGCTTGACTTGGAAAAGGAGAGAAGTCTTCCACAATAAGACCAATATGGGTGTGCTGCGTGTGCACACTGGGGCTGCCAGAGGTGATTATTACCCTTTGTGTTAAAGGAGGAGGCCTGCAGGTTCAGCTCTATCCTGCTCAGACCCTCTCCAGCTGTGCTTTAAACGGCCTCAGACCGACTGAGAGAAGAGTCTTTCCAAGTGAGCATGAGGCTTGTTTGCATGTAAGACAGCGATCTGATGTTCCCTGCAGTCTCCCTGCAGCACAGAGCAGCAGTCAGCTGCATCGCTGACACAGGCCACTGAGCAGCACGATTAGCTGCTCCCATCGCTTCCACTACATTTAATGTTCACCTCCTGTTCATGCAAAGGTTTACTTTAAATCAGAGGTGTGATTTTAGACAGTTTTTAAAGAAAAGTTGTGAAGCTTTAATGAGAACAGTTTTTCTGGGTTAAATATTCTGCAATGTTATTGTCCTTTTTTTTTGCCAATTAGCAGCTTTTCGAAAAAGAGCACTTTGAAACTGTCTTAAGAATAACAATTGCCATTATATATCTTATTTTAACTTGTTATGTCATACATTGCTGTCTTCCATACAAAACATAGGATGTTATTTGTGCATGTGTGTTTTGGCTTATTTGATGTTTAGGTCAGATCAAGTTAGATTTATACATAACAACAAAAAGGGAATTTGATCACTTTGTTAGGGACATTTTTTTTAATGTATTTTTAAATGGGTTGTGATGTGTAAGATACTGTACAACTCATATTCGTTCATCAAAAAGCAGTTTTTCTACAATTTTGTTTAAAGAAATACATTTGCGATACATAATATTATGTGATATTCAGTGAGAAGAACAAGGGCATTTGGTGACACTGCCTAATGAATACAATCATTATATTGATGCATAACATCTCGGGGGCTTAATGTAAATGTAGCACAGTGAGTTTTTTTAGCGTGTGGCTTTTTACAATCGGATTTATCTATTTATTTCCTATCCTATCAACTGCAAGATATTTATTTTTGCTGTACATTTATTTGATTTAATCCATTAAATCATTTGGGATTATCATATAGGCCAATACAACAGCTTAATATAAAAACATTATCTGATTTATGGGTAAATCAACACAGAGTATGCATCTGACTGATTATTTGCTTTATTTGTGTCTCAGCCATTTGGCTTCTGTTCTTCCATCAGACGCTTCAAGCTTAGTGCGCTGCCATCCCTTAAATACCCAGAGAGGGGGGATCTGCGGATTGTCTGCAGGCCGTTTCCACATGGCTTTTCACATTCTGACATTTAAATTGCGAGTGGGGAAGAGAAGGAGAAGGGGGGCGAGTTTGTAGTTTGCATTGTGACCAATAGAGGGCGCTTAAGAGGCTCTACGGTCCCACGGAGAGAGTTACATTATCCCAGTGTGATCTGGCACGGAGGCGGGAGGGGAGCAAGTCCTGGACGAGGTTTGAGCCAGAAGCACTCCACTCCCGACTTTAATCGACATTCCTCCGTCAGTCAGGCTCGCAGAACTGAGCAAAACAATTCACTGTGCGTAATTACGCACGGCGACGAAATATTATCGGTGTTGTCTCGCTGTGGAAGCCTGCGGACAAAGGAAGGCAGAAAGGCTGGAGTACAACAACTGACTTGAGAGGAGAGGAGTACTGTTGCAGGGGGAACAGGGGAATCTGCAGTCGGAAGTGATTTGTCTTTTTTCGGAAATGTAAGTTTCGTCCAGCAATTTGGGGAAGAGGCGAATCTGTTTGGAAACAGAGGAGAAAGGGACAAAAAGTGGAGTGGTGAGTGGAATCAGTCCTATAACAGCATCCAGATCCTCGGAGCATGGGGTAAGTTAGACATGTACGTGTCCTGCTGTCGGTGAAGTGATTTTTTCAGATGTCGAAATGCTTAAAAAAGTGAACTTTGTGGTGACGTGAATGTTCTCAGCGTGTGGCTGTTCTGTCCTCTTAGTCAGCACATGCTCTTTAATAAAAAAAAAAAACATTTCAGTCAGAACATTAACATCAGTTCACAGGTGCCAATGCTTTGAGAACGCTCTGATAGACAAAACCGTGAGATAAATATTGTTTGTGAACTAGATCCAGTCTGAGGTCTGTTTACACCGTAATGAAATAATGTGATCGTAAAAAGGTCAAATTCACATGTCAGCAGATCATGCCTGCATCATATTACATCATATTGTACTATGCATCCTGCAGTTAACAGAGTTACTGCGATTTCCTGTTCTCTATTCCTATGCTTTTTGCATCTCACACTCACACTCACTCTCACACACTCACACTCACACTCTCTGGACCCTTTCCAAGTCGATTGCTATGCAATCCTGGGTGGGTTTTCTTTGGGAAGCTTCTGGTGTCAAGCTGTGCTCACTCTCATTAGGTGCAAGTGTTGTGTGTTGAATAAAAAAAGCAGGCTTGGCTCAACACACCTGAATCCTCCTCACATTACCTTGTGGGCCCATGCTGTCATCCCCCCCCTGCAAGCTGGTTTAGTGACATTTTAATTGAGATGCTTCTCAAATGGCTTCATAAAGAACGTGTTAGGGCTTCTTCATTACTAGTGTTATATTCTATAGGTTGCCTGATTTATCTTCAGTGACAGTGAAAAGAAGCAGACCGTGCTGATAAATGAAGACATTGTGATAAGTCATGGGCCAATATTAAAATGTCATGTTAATGCAAATCATGATATTATCCCAATTATATACAATATGCTTGAACATTTCTCAGTCTAGATCCATATTCCAAGAAAAAGGGTACTTAAAGGCAAAATAGCTGTGAGTTGACTTCACGCAGCTCCTTGACACCTGAGCACACAGCTGTCAGTGACTATCAGACTAAGTATTTAGCGGCAAAACAAATGTTGTCCAACTATTTCAATAATATGTTTTAAAATGAATGTTGTTTTAATATAGAGATGTCCTTCCTGCATATCTATGAGTTTTGGACAAAAACATTTAAAGACACCACCTTCAACTTTGAAAAATCTGACAGAAATGTTCATTATTAGGATTAATTGTGTGGAAAGAGTTACAGATTAATCTGTAATGAAAGTTATTGTTTCTTTTCAGCTTTAATTTGCAGACCAGTGAGAATGCGGCCTTTTGATAGTATAGCCCTGGTATCTGATCTGATGATTGTGTTTGATACATGCTCAGAACCTCGATCAGACATCAACTCGGCATCATCCCTCTGTGGCAGCTGAGTTCAATCACTTAATGAAAGTCATGTAGTCTCAGGGCCACCATGCTCACTCAGACAGACACATGCACATCTCCTGACAGACGACGAGACAGCATGCAGCTGCTCTATGCTCCTGTCAGAAGTGAGCATCAGGAGGAGGAAAGCCTTAATTAAAATCCACTTTTAGGTCCATAAACAAAATGAGTCAGGTGCACAGGTGCTATCATTTCTTTAAAATACTTTATTTTGATCTTTCTTTTAATCATCTTCCAGGCTGTGGGATAATGTAAGCGAGGGGGATTGCTATGTGGAGCACCATGTGTATTGCAGATCTATGGAAAGATTGAAATAATGTTGTTTAAAAAGGGTCTTTGTGCTAGATTTCCTCCATTTTCTTATTTGATCACTGATTGTGAAGTTTAATTTTAATTTCAAAATGTATTCAGGTGCTTAGCTGCTCTGAGCCTATTTACTGCTTGTTGTAAAGTACTTGAATCATATCACCTGACTTTTTTTTCTCCCAGTTGGAATATATAAAATGTAATGGAGAGAGTCTTGATTTAATGGAGATCTTTTATTTCTCTGTAACAAACTGCTGACGGCTACCATTGTTAACAACAGGCAACGGCTTTCAATTTCCATTCATCAGGTTCAACTATATATCAGAAACAGATGCCCACGGCAAAGCAAGTACCTGATGTACACAAGGAGCCCACGTCATAAATGAATACCCCCATGAATACACCATATCAACACAACTCAGTAAGGGATGCTAAGGGCAGCCATGATTTACTAGAGGTGTTCTCCAAATTTGGGCATGAAAAGATGCACTTCTTGACCGCATCGTAGACAGCCCTTTCAACCAATTTATTTATGCAAGCAATTGACAGTCTTTGTATAGTTTGTTTATTTGTAACTGAAATATTGCTGTGATTCAAGTTCTTTTACTTTTATGAATTTACCTTGATTGAATTCAACCCCAAGGTCTTCTTGAAGTATGAAGTATAGCTACACTGTGTAAACAAATGATTGGATTGGATTAGCACTTGGTATTAGCAGATATGTCATTGGGATGTCAGCAAATAATGCCCTCACAAGCTTCACAGGTAATTGATTTCATGTGTAACTCAGATCCTCTTTCCTCTTGTTCTGCCGCAGAGGAGTTGTCTGCCAGCTGTAAAATGTTCCCGCTACATCGAGACAGGTACAAACCCACGTCGTCTCTGTGTTGTGGCTCTGCATGGCTGGGATGGGCGAGAACTCAAGATTAGTTTTTGATCTTATCCTAAACGATACTGAGCATGACATGAATGTTATTGATATCAGCAAAAGCTACTTAAATAAGTGAGACACTTTTTTTTATGACTTTGAAAAGTTACGTTAAACATCAAATTTGAAAAAGAGCTTGAGTATTTATGCTGTCCGGCTCTGCTTAAACATGAAGAATACACCCTCAGTATCTGTACTTCTTAAGTTTTAGGGATCTATACGCTAGGGCTGTGCGATTATGGCAAAAATCATAATCACGATTATTTGGGTCAATAATTGATATCACGATTATTAAATACGATTATTCATTGACTTTGAAAACATCCATTTATTGAACTTTAAAACAAATACAAATAATAATTTGAACAGTATCTTTTTAACTGTTGATTACCCTGAACGTATAATTCAACTGAAAAACCAATACAAAAATAAATGATACATTTAAATAAATAATATCAAAAATAATAAATACCAATAAACAAGATCAACAAATATTTTGGAGCGCACTTCCACAAGCTACTAAACATATATAAATATGATGAATACAAATAAATGAGACCAAAATGAATTAGATCAAATATGTTCTAGTGCACTGTCACAACCAAGCAAAGCAAAATAATTGTTTTTTTCGATTATGTTGTTTTCGTAATTGTGGCAGGCCAAAATCGTAATTGCGATTTAAAATACGATGTTAATTGCACAGCCCTACTATACGCCCATCCCTACTTCATCAAACATTTATTTGTCTCCGAACAAAATCCACACTCATCCCCAGAATGTTTATCCTTCCTCAGTATCTATACTATATATTATATATCTGTGAGATATGGTTCTCACTGAGGACGTTTCATGCTTGTCATGATGTGAAGATGTTGTCCGCACGCTCGCCTCCGCCTGCCGCCGTTGTCTGGTGTCTCTTTCCTCATATCATCCCCCGTCAGTTGCTCCATTGCAGCTCCATTGCAGCTCCATTGCTGGATTGTTTCAACTCCTTACAGTGCATTGTATTTTTGTAAGCTGTTGGTATGTTTTGCATGTTAAACTGTGGTTTTCAAAATAACTACAACTATCGAAGTATACAGTGTTTCCCTCTGACATGCAGAGGATCGAATCGATATACATTTCGATCCTCAAGAGACGCATTACATTATGTTGATTCAGCTGACGCTTTTATCTGAAGTGACTCTACAATAAATGCATTCAACCAGGTGGGTACAACCACAACAAAAATAATAATCATGCACGTACATCAACATTCAGTAAACAAATATGCTGAACTACTTCCTGTGCCACATTTAGAGACAATTAGAGAAATATTAACTTTTTATTTGCCTCCCGTTAAGGCTGGAGGCATTATGGTTTTTTGTTGTTAGTCCCATTCCTGGAACGCCTTTACCCAGGAACACCTTGAGGAAATGTCCTCACTTTATGCAGAAACGTCCACTGAATTCAAGGATAAACTGATGGGATTTAGGAGGTTTAAGGTCAATGTCACTGTGACCTCACAAAACACTTGTTTGGCCAAAACTCAAGAATTAGGGTTAGGATGTATGAAGCATTGATGCATGGATGTAAACTGAGAATAGACTAGCTGGCAAAGGCGTACAACCGAGAGCGGATCATTCCAGTTTTTAACTTATGGGACAAGTTAAACAACATTTTTCTAAAGGTGAAAAGCAAACGCGTGAGTAGAAAGCCGAATTGTTGTAGCATAGCGCAGTGTACACAGTGGGGCTTCTGCATTTTGGATCTACAAACATGCCAATACCTACTGACACAAATCAAAGCTAACCCCAGCCATTGATTGCTAGAAAATGTATAATGATACCCAAAAGATGGAGTTATACATTACCAAAAACCATAGTTAAACTTGTAGGGGGATAAACCCATCCCTTTTTATTGCCAGAAGTAAGATGAGAAGATGGATACCACTCGTGTATAAAAGTGGCCTCAATCGTCTAAGCCTAAATAAGTGAATAATGTTAATTACATTGTCAAAATATTCCCTTTTGTTCTTCAGGAACATAATCAGTTAATCTGCAGCAATAAAGGCCGTTAAATCTGTTCAGCGTCCTTCCAAGGAGAAACCAGCTGCTCAGTGGAGAAAGCCTCTTAATTGCTGTTTGAGAGACATTTGCGATTGCTTGAATAAACGGTAATCTCTGCTCACTCCATTTCACCGTGTTTTATTGGCATAGTGAGTAATAACAGTGCTGCCGCAGGAGGAAGACAAAACATCCTCTCTTTTTCGGTGCTTCTCCCTGACCTTGATATCCTGAATACAGAGAACACTCCAGCTCTGCGTCACCTTCACAATGTGAGAGAGTAGTAAGTTATCAGTCAGAGGAGCTGACCTTCAGATAAGTGAAGTGCCG